TTCGCATTCTTGTTTTTGTTATTTATTTTCTTCTACACAGAATAGAATTGCAAAAAAGGAACGTCGTTCTATTTTTAATCTTTCGATTTCGTTTCTAGGTTGGATTGTTGCCAACTAAGTCGTTGCACGAGCAACAACTTTTGTTATTCATCAGTTTTCTTTTTTTTGTTCGAATTAAGTGGTTGGTTATTAATCTTAAAAAAAATAACAAATAATATAGCCCTTGTGGAAATTATAAGTTCGCATAAGATCATTATCGATATTATGGATGCAATAATTATTTTTGTAATAATTATAGTGCACATGTAATAGTTTTTTTTAATAATTATATAATAATTGGCTAATTAATGAAATTAATAATATAGCTTTAAATTCAATTAAAATATGCTTATATATAAAAATGTAATAATGTGCTGTTATTACAACCTTTTACCAAAAGGTTCAGGATGCAAGGAATAGTTTACCCAAGGATCGAATGGACCATTTCATTGATTAACTGCTTCTGTAATGAAAAATAATGGTTATGCTGTCAATTACTTGTTTATAAGAAAAAAATCATAAAGTTGCTTTAGTTTTGACCATACAAAAATTGGGTCTATATAGTTTTTCATAGAATAATTTTTATTCCAAAAATGAATTTCTGAAAAAAAATTGTTCACTATAACATCATTTCCAAGCAATTTCTGTTGCTTTAGTTTTGACCAGTGTTGCCAAAACTTTGTCATTAAAAAATGCTAGATTTTGTTTAAAAAAATGCTAGAAAGTGCTAAAAAATTTAAAAAAGTGCTGAATAAAAGTGCTAAAAAGTTTATAGAAGGAATTTCGCTTAAAGCTAATAATGAAACCTGGAAATATGCATCTGATATCCTACTTATTCATAGTCAGAATAAATTTCTAAGTCGATATAGCCATGTATATATAGCTCGCAATATTGATGACAGATCTTTGAAATTCTGAAAATGGAAAATGAAAATGGGATTTATCTCTTCTTTTTAGGGTAGCCCCAACCGAATTAGCTATAATTTGATAGTTTCGATTTTCATTGGAAACAAGTAAAAGAGTGTCAGTCGGTGTTACCGACAGAGATATACCCCCAGCTTATGGTTTGCGGAGGTCTTCGGAATTAAACACAGATGTTATTATTAGCTGTATATAAGAAATATGTTTTTATCAATTAGGTTTCGGATTTAATATTGATAAAATTGTATAAACTATTGGGTCCAATCTTCGGAATTGGTATAGATAATATACCAATGCAATAATCGCCTGATATTGCATTTATAAATATTTTGACCCTCTGTGGGTAAAGATAATAGGTTGTACAAAGTTTCGTTAAAATCGAATGTTCCGTTTGCATGTTATTATGAAATTAGTTTTTAGCATAATTTTGACCATTTTGTGGGGGAGGTACCAGAAGGAGTGCCGATATTCTCAGCATCTTCGAACTTAAACTATGTTTGGAAGAACTATTAAATGCAAATGGATGAAATTGATTATTCCCTTCGAGAGTTATCGTGCGCACCAGCCAGCCAGCCAGACGGCCTATATTTTCTGAAACGGATTTGGTCCAAAGAAACATGTGATCTAAAACCAATATCTCGATGAGGCACATTTTCACCGGATCAAAGTGTATATACCCTCATTAGCCATAAGGCTGAGGGTATAAAAAATCTGCCTAACAAACATTATCAATATGGGTTTTAGTATATAGCGGTACCATCATAATTCGGTGGCTTGGTGACTTTAGGCACATTATTCAACCGAAGTGGTTCCAATTTTATATTTTGGATTCCCATTAGGCAGAAAATCTCCATACCAACAATTATCAATATTGGGCCCTCTCAGGGTAGCCTCAGAGAGCGGTCGGGGACGTTTTTTAATAGAATTGATTGTAATATCACATTGCGCGTAGGGTTCGGAGGCCTATTTTCGGCATTTTGAGGGATTTAGCCGTATTCTATGGGTTTTGTTAGGGTAGAAAATATTTATGTGGACAATTTCTATATTTGTTCATATACTCCATATAAAATGTCCGTCCTATTCGCATCATTTTAAAGTTTTAAAACCCTTTTCCCACCGAAGTGGTTGTATAAAATTGGCGAAATTTTTCGATGTATGTCCATTTTTGACATAACTTCCATATAAGGTGGGACGTGACCCTATAAGTGGCTATAATTTGACATTCCAGATAGTTTATAATATAAAATATAATCAGCATTGTTTTTTCCAAATAAACAACCTAATACCAGCCAATGTTTTAAGAAAATTTTAATAAACACCACGTGGTGCAGGTGTTTAGCATGGTGTTTATAACAAGTTCGGCCGGGTCGGGTTTTTTTACTTGTTCACAGATATACTGACACTTCTTTAACATTAAAAATAAATAAAGATCATAGCGTGAAACATAAAAAAATTCTATGTGGAATCGAAAAACGGCAATTTTTTTGGTATAAAATCAAATAGACGGAATATTTTGAAAATATCCAGAAAAAAATAAAAAGTGCTAAAAAAGATGCTAGGTGCTAGATCAATTTTTTCGGTGCTAAACGATTTTGAAAAGTGCTAAATCTAGCACTAAAAGTGCTAAATTGGCAACACTGGTTTTGACCACCAGTGTATATTCGTCCTATTTATTCGAAATGATACACCAAACACCCAAGGTTTGTGGGAGACAAAAATCAGGGTTACGGCCACCACAATCATCAGATCATTACCCTATAGAAAAAATCTATAGATTATCATAGATAGCAAAATCAACCAATAGAGCAAGGAGGATGCAAGGAGTAGTATACCCAAGGATCGAATTGAGCATCTCATTGATTGACTGCCTCGTAGATGTGCTTCTGCAATGAATAATAATGGTTGTGCTGTCGATTACTAGCAAAATTTGCTTATTTATAAGAAAAAATCAAAAAGTTGCTTTAGTTTTGATTATGCAAAAATTCAGCCAATTTAGTTTCCATAGAAGGTTTTTTTAAAAATTTATTTCTGAAAAAAAACCGTTCACTATAACTTCATTTTCAAGTTTGCAATTTCAGTTGCTTTAGTTTTGGCCACAAGTGTATATTCGTCCGATTTATTCTAAATGATACACCAAACTCCCAAGGTCATAGCTTACCAGCTTGTTTTCTGTTCACTCAAGAGGTCAAAATTATTAGTCTACTTTTTCAAGTTTTGGATGAAGTTGAAGATTGATACCTATATAATTTTATCGGGTCAAATGAGCAACAGTAACTATTTTTGTTATTTTTAATTCCCCCCTCAGATTTCTCCAATTATGAACCGTAAATATTTTGCTGTTTTTTTTTACAAAATAATTTCATATTTTTACTAAATTATGTTATCTATCATTCAATCGAATGTTTTTTATTTCAATTTACCTGTTCAATTTTTCCATAACTATAATATTTTCAGACCAGACATTATTTTATTATAATCATAAATATGTATATTGGTTTCGAATATGTATATACATACCGATTATATACGAAATAAATAAATGAATTCCCCATACACGGTTTTTTATCAATTCACATCGAGTGACTTATCATCAAATGGTTTTTGGGTGGTCGTGGTGATAACAACACTTCTAGTCAGTTATCACGAATGTCACGAGCCTCTGTCGATGTTTAATCTTTAATAATTTTTGGCATATTTGTGATTAGGGAATGTATGTACAAAAATATATATTTATTTTTGCAAATTCATGTGTGTATTACCTTGGAAATAATAAAGAAACAAAAATGTATTTACGTAAATTAAAAAAAAACTTAAAAAAATCTTTTGAAGTTATTATTTTTTTAATTTTTTTGCGTGGATAAAAACGTTTCAGAAACGTTTTTCCATTATTATTTACTTTTTTCTCTAAGTAATATTACTAAAAAATAAACAGATAATATTTCATATCAATTGAACTGGCTTATACATGATTTGCAAGGAAAGTGATGATTATGCACATTCATTTTTGGTTATGAATCATATTTTTGCAATTAACAACATCAAACAGGGAAATACAGTTACTCCGTATTAAATTAAATATTTATATAAATATGATATTTTTGATGATTACTTTATTTATTCACTGTATGCATATATATTTTTTCAAAATAGATTGATTCAATTTAACTTTGGCGCCCTATAATTCTTCTCATTTGTCCGAGTCAAAGTACTTCACAAATCTGTCAGTAATTTGAGGGTGTATTTTAAGAGTGTATTTTTATTTATATATATATATATATATATATATATAGACAGGGACTGGAGGGGGGAGGTTGATGTACTATAAAATTCCCTCATCACTTTCTTTCTTTCATTCTTGCTACACTTTTCTTTTTATTAAATTGTTGCTCTATTTAACATTACCATCTGTTTGCAAGAATCCTCTGTGACATTGTCACATTCTCTCTCCCTCTATCTACCTCACTCTCTCGCTCTTTGCCAGCTGTGTTCTCTGTGTTAACTTTGTCATATCATTAAGTTATGTTATACTACAAAAACAACCTTGACAGTATAAAATGTGCTTAAAATCTTGTAATACATTTGTAAAGGGGGTTATTTATGTGGAAATGTTTTTAAGAGTATTTCTGTCTCTCTCGCCCCCTACTCTTTTTTCTTCTGCCTTGTCATTCATATCCACATGCCAATGAACTTGTCTTCTCACAAAAAATATATGACAAAAAACTGACCTTAACTAACCACCACCAACAACAACAACAGGTCATTGTAACATATAAATAATAAAAATAAAAACAGCAACAACGACAACAAAAATGCCATTGGTGTATAAAACAACAAAAATAAAACAAAATATACAATGTTTGAATTGGGTTTTCCTGATTCCATTCACAGTGGTTTGGGTTTTTGTCGAATCTGTCTGTCTGTCCAATCAAACAAACACTTGTTGATGAGTGCAGAGCGCGTATGCATTGTATGTATTCCTGTTTGTGCGTGTGAATGTGTGTTCATTTATTGCTTTTTAATTCAATGTAAAACTGATATAGAACGAAAGACGTCGTGGTTGTCGTCGTTTTCGTCAAAATATAACGTCAAGCCCACAAGACAAAACATAGTAAAAGAGAACTTTGGCCGCCTTGCCTTTTACTACAGTGTGAATAATAATAACAACTACAGAAAAAAGCAAAACAACAACTTTGCTTGGCGAAAAAAGCTCTTTCGATTCTAGTCAAGAAGTAAACAGAACGAGTTCAACATCGTCATTGCTTTTTTTGCTGTTCAGAGTGTTGTGTTATCAATTCATTTTATGTTGTGTGTGTGTGTGTGTGTGAAGTTCTAGGGAGAAGGTGTGAGGGGGAGATTTGGGGATGTGTTCTGTCAATGTATTGGTTGCGTGTGTTTGATAACAACACAAGTCTACAAACGTTAGCAATAAGGAAACTTAAAGGGGGAACACATAAGAGGAACTACAAGAATGTCATGTTAAGTTGGCTTTGTTTTTATGTAAAAGAATAAAGGAGAACGGAGTCCAAAATCAAGTTTGACTCTTTATAAAGAGATTTCATACAATGCCAACATAACAAGCCATGCTTGAATGCTCCTATGGGTTTTCCTCCTTAAATGAATGGAATTTGAGAATGGACAATATATATTTGGGATTGGTATAAAAATATACAACATTTTATAGAAGACCAGGCCTTATTAAAGAAGATTTATTAGTAATTATTATAGCGTTTTTCTTATTGAAGACCATTCGGTTTTCTTATATAGGCCATTACAATAGCATTAGATTTTAATAGAATACCATCTTCTTATAGAGTACTACTAGGTCTACTTGCATATTTTTAACGACCATAAGTATTTATTTTTATAAAACGAATAAAAAACTCTGTAAAAATCTGGATTTGTAACCAAAATATCGATTCAAATTATCGTATAATTTGCTTTATAGGTTGTATTCATAGTTTATCGACAGTTTAGAAAATAATCGGTTAATTTCTTTATTGTATCCGAAATATTTTTTTCGAATAACCAGATTAGTGTGTCAAAACCTAGGCAACCGTATTGAAAACTAAATTGGCTCCAAATCGTTTTTTATATCAGTATAACCGGTTTCGACGATCTATAAGGCTTCACATTCATAGTTTAGTAGAAAAACGGTTAATTGATTAAAAAAATCGGTTCTTAATCGAATTTTCTATCCGAAATATTCAATTTATCAATGTCTACAATAACAATGGTATATATTTTTTTATTTCTGAGTGGCATTTAAATAGAAAATTGGTTAATCTTTGTTTAAAAATCCGGTTCAAAATCGGAACCAGGGATTTCAACAAAAACGTATATTTTCAGTGGCATTAGTGAATTGTATCAGTGCACTGATACCACTGCAGTGGTATAAAGGTTAACCGAATCGAAATAAATTTGCCTTTTTTGTTTGAAATATTTGTTGAAATTATCCGTATAATCGGTTTGGGCGGATTTCTGAGTGTTATTTATATATAAAATTGGTAAATATTTCTTTAAAAATCCGGTTCTAAATCGGGTTTTGTTGAAATTATCCATATAATCGCTTTGGGCGGATTTCTGAGTGTTATTTAAATATAAAATTGGTAAATATTTCTTTAAAAATCCGGTTCTAAATCGGGTTTTGTTTATGAAGTATTAGTTCAAAATAGTTGTTGTATAAAAATCAAGTTCTAAATCGGGTTTTATTTATGAAGTATTAGTCCAAAATGTTTTCAATGGCATTAGTGAATGGTGTCATTTTTATAAAGGTTGACAGAATCGAAATAGATTTTTTATCCGATTCTATCCGATTCTAATTTCCCTTTTTATTTGAAATATTTTTTGAAATTACCCAACATTTGTTGAAACACCCTAAAAAGATATACGGATATGATCGTTTTTGGTTGGAGTTCTGAGTGCCATTTAACTAATTTTTAAAAATCCGGTTCTAAATCGTGTTTTGTTTATGAAGTATTAGTTCAAAATATTCTATAACCAGAGTTTTCAGCAAAAATAATGTTTTAAATGCTTTAGTGAATTTTATCAGTGGTATAAAGATTAAGGATATTTTATACAAAATATCCGGTTCTAATTTGTCTTTTTATGTGAAATATTTATTCAAATTATCCGTACAACAAGTTTTTGGTTTTAGGTCCCCTAAAATAGCGTCCGCCGTTGTGAAATTTTTTGTTAACTCGTCTCAATCCTTTGATGGTGTAAGAGACTCGATTTGCTCCTAAAATTCTTGGCTTAACTCTAGTTTAGTAAAAACGATCAGATTTTTCTGAAAAAAAATCCAGAAGTAGGTATTTTTACCCTAATTATGGGGATATAATTTTTTCTTTGCCATTTGTATAGCTGTAAGGTATTTTTATAAGCGGAAATGTATTTTTATAAGCTTTAAGTGATACACATTTTATATTAACCGGATCCGTAGAACCGGATATAACCGTACCCGAACTTCCGGGTCTAATAACCAGGTAACCGGGTACGTCCCCCAAGAAAAAATATATCCCCATAATTAGCGTCAGAAAAATCTGATCATTTTTAGTAAACTAGAGTTGTTCCAAATTCTTTTATATTTTTTGGCTTTTCCACCCGTCCGACATTCTTTTGTACAGTGTAAACACTTAAATACCATTTATTTATAGATGGACTTAACAACAAAAGTCATGGCTAGAAAATAGCAAAGTCAGGCATCTACCTCTGTTTTTTGTGTTTAATGGCAAAGGCGCCAGGGATGTGTGTCCAACCATCTGAAGGTCAACCGTTACAAACAACGGATTAATTTTCCAGGTAACTGGAAATTATGTCTTTAAACAACAACAACTAAATGCTAAAACAATGTTCTAAAACGGTCATTAACTGTAGATTAGTGTAAATTATCAGCTGCTCACAATGAGACGAATTTATTTCTCTGCCTCTATGTGTGTGAGTGCCATGTGTTAGTCCGTGCCGCCTGCACTTTGTGCCGTTCAGGCCTTTGGAATTTTTCTTCTTTTTCTGTACGACTGTGTATGTATCTGTGTGACAAAGTGCTGCGTGTATGTGTTAGTGTATATGTCATTTGTATAGCTGTATTTTTTAATAACAATCAAGTGGCCAATTCATTTTCAAATCAGTCTCACAGCAGCTGTTTCGCGTGTAGGACGTGTTGTCTTCTCCTCAGCTCTATTGAAGGAATACCAGACACGGTGGTGGCCCTAATGCTATTATATAAGAGAGAGCATTAGCACACAAGTATTACAAAAATTGAGAAGGAAAATTCAGTTTAACTTATTTGAATTTTATCCAATTCTCTAAAAAGAAAATACCGCGCATATACCAAAAAACCGTCCCATTTTTTAATGAATGAATTTTTGTTGTTTTTTCGGGAAACATAAAATAAAATTGTGTTACAACTTAAAAAACAAGTACAACAATAAGTTAATTTGCCAAAAAACCCCAGCGTGAAGTGAAAGTTTTATTTCTAAGCCAAAATTAGATTTAATTAAGACTTAACAAACAACAAACTGTGATTAAATTTTTTTGTAAAAAAAAACAAAATTGCTTTATAAGCAACTACATATAAACAACAAATTATTGTATAATAGTCACTTAGTGACTATTTTTTTTGTGGTGTGTAAATATTACAACAAAAACAAAAAAGACTTGAAATCGATCCTCCTCCTCATCAACAATTAATTAATTTAATGTCATAATGTTGCGAAGTAACAATCAATATCAAACGCCAAATGAATATTACAATATTCATCAAATGGCTGTGGCCGGTGATGCCCTGGAAGATTTTATTGTTATATTTCGGGAAATGATGAATCGGGTATGTATATTCAGAAGACACAACAAGAAAAAACCTATTAAAAATTATTTACATTTTTTAATTAAAAAAATGCAACAGGCTCTATTGAAAATATTTTTGGTTGTTTAACATAATTTTGTCATCGACTATAAAAAAAATAAACAAACTAACTCAAACAAAAATCGTAAAAAATATTTTTAATTTTTACGAATTAAAACATTTTTTTTTTTAAATTTTTAACAACACAAAAAAAATTCGACTTAAAGATATTTTTTCCAATTTCCATTATTTTTATTAAATATTTTCAAATTAAAAAAAATATATTAAACTTTTTAATTAAAAAAAATTAACTTATTTTTTTTTTGAAGCCAAGATTCTCTGCTTACAATTTGTTAATCAAAAATAACTTTAACAAAATCATTCAAATGCATTTTAAATATTTTCGATTTTTCCCATTCATTGATTTTTTTTTATCAAGAACCTCCAAATTCTGTAATTAAATTGTTGCTGGTTAATGTCAACCAACCAACAAACCATTCCATTTTTACCTTGGCATTTTTTGTCATAATTACCTAAAAAAACCCAACACCATTAACCATTAACTGGGTTAAACAAAAAATAAAGTTCAAACCAGTTTATTTTTTTTTTCAAGTTAATAAACGGAAATGTGATTCACATAATTGTTGGAATTCAATGACTTGTTTTCAATACTCTTTTGGGAATTAAATTTTTTTCCTATGAATTTTCTTATCAGTTAAATATTTTAATGCAAAAACCCCAAGGCACACGCACTCTTGCTTTATTGCATAGTCTGCCTGCCTGCCTCCTACTCTTTTGGCAAACTCTTTTTTTCTAGAGATTTCTGGCAAACGAAGATAAAAATATCTATGACTCTTAATTGGTTGTGCTCTTAAATCATCATTTGCTCTTTTCATGAAATTTCGTGGAAATTTCGCTCTTCTTTTAATAAAATTAAATAGTGTAAATGTATTGGTGTATAGTTAGCCCCCCAGTATAAAAAATTGAATTTTGTTGTTCTTTTTTTGCATTTGTGTAGGCATGGCTATGCCACCCAATCAAGCAGCCAGCCAGCCAAGCTCTTTGCCCATAGCAACAGTTGAGACACATTTGATGGGGTAAAAAATAAACAGTGGAGCCCCTAATAAATTGAATAAATTTGCAATTTAGGAGAGGTGTTAATGTCATGTGAAATTTTGTGACAGGCATGTGTAATTAAGAGCACTAGGAATCGAAGAGAAACCAGATTTGTTTCTTAAATCAAATATTTGGGATCTTTTTTCATATATA